GTTTATGGGTTGGTACATAATATCGTAGCGTTCGCATTTGGCAAAAACGTTCAAAGCAAAACCCAAAAGCAAAGCCAAGCATAAAACTGATCAACTATGTTCTTCTCGTCATTATTTACGACTTTCGTTCCATTTCGCAAGAAATTACCAGGTTTAGAAATCAAAAAAGGGTACTGAGCCCGTTTCTAGAATCCTCATTATTTCAATATGTACGACGTGAATTAGATTTGAAATTAAGGGTCGACTGGAGTGAGGTTCAATGATGACGATGGATTCCGAAAAACTCCTATTTTGGCAGCTTTCTTCTCTATATGGATTTTCGCCCACCTTGATTCTCCAACTTCTAAGCGCCATATCTGAGTACACTTACAGTATAGAAGAAAATGCCAAACATAGTATTGTAGGGCAGAAGAAGCCCTTTCAAATGGTATATGTGTTTCTTGGGTTATACTTGTATTCTCTAGATTCGTAGCTCGAAAAGAAAAACGCTACGGTATGCACCAACCCAATAGGTGTACTCCGTGCGTGGCGCATTCCACATTTCGCTGGGAACGAGGACGTCAGCACTAGTTGAAACCAGCTCAATACTACGCAGGCAACGAAACATGGAGCACTGAGCAAAAAATCTTCATTCAATAGATAACGGAAAACGTGAGCACAATGGCGAAAGTGACTTGATGTGGCAGGCAGCTGGAAGGAACATTCAACACGATAACTGGTAAGTATGGACGAGTTTTCTCTCACACATTCAATGACACACACTCGTATACGCAGTAGGGAGTGTTCATGGATATGATGTACATACAAAAAAAGAAACTGCTATGAAAATGCATCAGATCAACAAATAATAGTCATACATATATGTACTGGCTAGCAGTGAAGCACCGATTTGGCAGTAATGCCTATGATGGAAGCATTCAGGATGAGGGGATGGTAAGCGGATAAATATTTTCAAAAAATCGAAAATGATTTGTTGAAAGATCTCGCCGAACAAAAAATACAAATTGTCTCTACAATGGAATGCGATTAGAAGTATAGTGGCAGTGGAACTAGAATGTTGCAATTATAAATGTGCCTCCCCCTAAGGGCTATGTGGCGTTACTATCGTTTTATGCAGGCGCGAACTTGTCACTTAAAGGCAGTGACCACGATGGCAGGGGCGGAGCGATGATGGTGACGTCGAGCGTGATTGTGAAACCTCGTTGGGAGGTTGTCTCAACCACACTCATCAATGCGCTGTCAAGAATTATGCACCAATGATGTCCAACGCCTCATCGGAACAGCTCCCACCCTCTAGCGATCGCGTTCAGTCCTTTAACCTCGATTAGATCAAAAAAGGCTGCTCAGCTGTAAACTGGGATTCTTTTTTGCGCGTCTTTGTTCTCAAAGAGATGAACAGCGCCAAATTTGCGCCACTAAAAACGAACAGTAATGCGTAATCATTTTCCAAATGCGCACCCAGGGAGGCCTGTAATAGAGGCCGCTTAAAAGTAGTTGACTTCTTCAGCAGTGGTGGTGGTGACAACTTCGTTTCGTCGTCGTTCGGTTCCCACTCGTGGATCAGCGCCGGGTAGGAAATCGTGCGATTGGGCGACTCGCGTCACTCGATCGTACGTGGCACGACCGGCATCGGAATCCGCGTCAGACTCCGAATCGTACTGAAAAATTAGCTTTGTCATGTTCATAGGGCTAAACTTGATAGGAGCGCTGTTTTAGGGCTCACTCACCGCTCCTTCTGTCCCTCAATATGTCCCTGCCATTTTCGAACTGCCTTGTGACTTGTCCATAATTTTGATGTAGGCTTGTAGCTGCATTGGAAGATTCTCCTTGCTTTGTGGCTTCTAGTGCAGCTTTGCGCTGGGTGCTCGATTGTTACTCTTCCGTACGAAGTGTTTTCCGATTGTCACTTGCGTTATCTACCTTCGTTGTCGTCGGTCTCCAAATACGACTCCGTTGTTCAACATCTTTGTCTGGAATTGTTGCTGAGGCCCTCACTGATGAAGATCAATGTTAATCGCCTAAAATTGGGTTCTATTTGGGACTATATATTACTGACCCTGTATCTTCTACTGATTATTTGCCCATTTCATCGAGACTGTCGGTTTTAGTATCGAATTCTCGGGTGGTGACATGCTTTGTGTTTGACTCTTTGCTTTTCAATTCGATCTCTTCCAGAGAGCCGTCCGACGAGACCGAAGCTCCATCGTCCAAGTATGCGCCAAGAACGGCAGCATTGTCATGGCCCATCATCTCATCCTGGAAACAGCCGCAATACTTTCATGTTTGTGAGGGAAACATTCGCAGAACATACCGCATGGGCGCCTGGCTTCAGTTTGGCACGAGGAATGGTATAGTAGTTAGACCGAGTATATCCCGGCCGCTTGCACTACCTTCGCTGATGCCTCCTGCACCGAAACAGCTGAAATTGACAGTATATCGGCCGGTCATTCTACCAAACTGAGAGTTTGACATCTTACCGGCATCGTGCGCAGAGGTACAGACAGCAAAGCAGCGTGAGCAGGAGGAACAGTAGAGCCAGAATGGTCATCAAAATGAGGCCTGCGTTTGATGGAGCAGCCTGCAATGGGAAATATTGGTTGCAATGGCTTTTCAAAGAGGTGTTCCTATTTCTAACTCCATTCTCACGTAAAAGCATTAGTGATGGAGTACCGGCAAACAAATAAATAAGCAGACGCTGGACAGCTGCATGGACAAGAGCGAGGATTAAGATCTATTGACCTAGAGAAATGTTCTGTGCGTGGCTAGGTATGGGCTACTGCGCCTTGGAATAAAATCACATTCACATCAGTCTCTGCCCTTACGAATTGGTTCTGGAATCTTTTGCATTTTCGTTTCTCCCCTTAAATTATCGGTCAATCATTAACACAATTCCTCCCTCGGTCGTCACTTGCGCAATTTTGGAGGGGAGAGGGGGCGTATTTTGGGTTGGCGAAGGTCCAAAGGTTGAAAAGAGGATCGCATTTTTGGAATTCAAAGAAGAGGTTACGGGAGGGGCTGGGAATCTCTCTGAGGCTGACGGTGGTGATAGGGTCGTATCGAGGTTCCTTCTGATAGAGGTGGAGGGGAGGGGGGATTGGGCAAATGGTCAAATTCCTCGAATTGGAATGACGGCCGTCCAACCTGCCTTGAAAAACTATATAACCCACAACTAAGAGATCGCGTTGCACATTGAAGGCATTGAGATCAGAGGAATAGCCGCGGCTTCGCATTGGGATTTACAAAAGCACATCTATTTTTAAAAATTTTCAATGCCAATGTCAATAAAATTCCAAAAAGACCACGACGGCTTTAACGAGCCTTCACATGAATCCTGGAAATTTCTCGTAAAAAGTTTTCTTTTAGGAACATGAAAAAACGATGATATTGCTCTCGGGCGCACTCCGTGGGGAAGATTAAGGGGTGTATCAAATGCTGACGATAAAGTATGGTTAGCATTCGCATTCGAGAGCTTTGTCACGGATAACAAGAAGGTATAAGTTATGTACTCAGGTGGTTCTCCTTCAAAGGTCACTGATTACCCCCAATTCGGCATCGAGCACTCTTATATGGCTTGATGCTAAAAGAAGAGCGCTATACATGAAATGCACAAGTGGCGCCGAGCAAAATGGTGCTAGCATCTTAGGTTAGCCTACTTATTCAGGGTCCTGGATCATAATTATAAATGCGAGCAAATTAATTGGGGTGGGTTATTTGTAGCCCTCCTAGGCTACCGTACCAGAGGGTTGCCTAAGCTTCCAAAGCACATCCTCAGGTAGACCTGCAGGAGAAACCTCCGGCAGCATATGCTTTCAACACTGCTGCGGCCCGTTACTCGGAGGTTTCTCCTGCAATTCTATCTGAACACCTGTTTTGCGAATTTCTACGAGTCGATCGATAATGTGACCAATACCATATACGATCGAAATATCGATTACCTCGCAGAACTGTCCAGAATAGCCGTCGACACATGCGCAGGTGACATTGTTGGTGACACTGTCGTGAATACAGTCACCGTGGCCGTTGCACAGACCGCACAGCAACGCTGCACACTACCCGACCTCCGTATAGCTGAAACGGTTCTGGAAAAACTTGTACTCATAGAGCGCCAGACAACAAGTACTGTTCTCTTGTGTCTCTATGCCATGGCAGCTTAGCTATTGGTCAATTCAACTCACCCATCAGGACACTTGCATTCGTAACCGTACTTCAGGTCTGTACAGATCGCTGCCTGCACTGCAATTATGCAGTCCAAGGAGACACTCATTCACATCCGTGTGTCGCATGCAGATCGCATCACCGAGGCCAGCCTGAAATAGCGCGCGTACTCCTTTTAGGTTCGGTATGAGAGTTACTCCTTCCGGGCTGAAAATAACGAAGGCTCACCTCTGACAGTCTATCCGACTTGCGAAGATCGACAAATTTAAATTTTTGTTATTATTTATTTAGACAAAACCAGCGTTACAGTGTCGCATTTAGCCTGAAATTAAGCAGTTTATAAACCCCAAATTTTTCAGTGTAATTACAAAAATTACCTGGTCGCCGACATTTTTACAGGTCGAGTTCAATGGACAGTAGTGCACATCAGAGCAGTAGTCGATGGTACAAACGGAGCCGGGTACTGCTCCTTCGGGAGCCGCGTTCACGTACGGAGATACACACTCACACCTGTGATGTGGGCAGTGCTACAGTATTCGGGAAGGCAATCTTTGCAGGACTTACTTGTAAAGGTAATCCAGATCGATGCAACGTGCATCTGGAGAACATTCGTTCAGTTCTGGTTTCTCGCATTCGTTCACACCCACGTATGCGAGGCACTGTCGTCCCGGATGAGAAGGATTCAGATCGCCGTAGCCGTTGGGCATTAGCAGCTAGAAATTATCCATTAAAGGAAGCAGTCACGATAATTTTCATGGCAACGATAAGGAAAGCTATGTATTGGAGTGGATAGAGGTCCTGCCCAATGTTAGAACACGTAAAGTTTCAGTGGCAGTGGCCCTTATCAATGAAGTGATAAGGAGCCGAAATTCACTCAAGTTCAGCAAAACCAAGACTTATCGATGTGGAAAGGGGTGCGATAAGAGCGCTAGATATGATACCGTTATCGTTATCGTCCTGTTTTCATTCTGAAGTGCACCTCT